ATTATTTTAAGGGTTATTATAAATTATTGCAGGTGTTTTTAATATTATTTTATCATTATATTTTCATTCTGTAACAGCATCAGCATTTACGTCATGCATCAGCATTTGCGTCTTGCGTCTGCATTGCGTTTTGCATCGATAATTGCGTCATGCGTCAAAAATTGCATCATGCGTCAGCAATTGCGTCATGCGTCAGCAATTGCGTCATACGTCAACAATTGCGTCATGCGTCAGCAATTGCGTCATGCGTCACATATATTGCGTCACCATAAAAAATTCTATTAATTGAGTCAATGGGATTTGAGTTTTGATGACATGTATAGTGCGGGAATCTAACCGAGTTAAAAGTAGATCATAATATATTCACCATAGGAGTGGAGAGAGAGCATCTCCTTGTGGGATGCCAATTGATTGGACAAATTTATCTGTTTTTCCATAAAAGGTAATTACATTTGTTGTATTTTGTGTATACAGGTTCATTATCAATATAATTAGATTATCTGACATATTAATACGTTTGAGGGCTAGTTGGAGTAATGAGTGATTAATTGAGTCAAATGCTTTAGAAATGTCGTGTGTAAGGATCCATATGAGTTTTTTGTATTCTCTTGCATCTTCTAGACAATTGTTAATGATGTGAATTGGACCACTCGTTGAACCTTCCGGTAGTCCTGCTCAGTTTAGTTGTGATAACAGCTTGTTATTAGTGAGGGTAGTTGCAATTCTTAGGTAAAGCAATTTGGTGAATATTTTGCGTGCTGATTCTAATAGAACAATGGAGCATGTCATTCTAAGGTCTTTTTCCCACAGTTTAGACTTTGTAATGAGAAATGTATTACTATGGTTCCAGTCTTTTGGTACTTGTTTTGTATCTAGGATCTTGTTAAATAGTGAACATAATTCTGTCAGGTGGTTGTTGTCTAGGTTATACTTGCACGCAAAATTATTTTGGGGTTCCGAAATTGCAATTTCGGGGAAAAAAGTTAAAATAGTTTTTCATAGAAGACGAAATTATTTTACTTAAAACCCAAAATTTTTTTGACCACACAGATTTATTCTTTGATTAAAGATACATATAACTAGGTACTTTTTTTACTTCCAT